CTGGGTATCAGTTTCATCTCTTGTTGCGTATCGCCGAGGGGCCAATGATCGGCGCTTAATGCGCAGTGCATGCGGGCCCCGACTGAGGCTGGGGGGCCCGTGGCCGAGGGCTTCGCTCGAGGCGCGGGCCGATGGCGCAACGCCCATGGGCGACGGTGCATGGTTTGCAACCGAGATGCATTGGCTCGCGCGCCGCGCCTAATGATCTCGCGACCGCGTTCTCGGGCGCAGCGTTTGTTATGAGGCCGAACGCGCAGAGCTCAGCGCGCGCGGCTACGGGCGCGCGGGCCCCTGCTTCAAGCTTGCAGCTACATGTTGAAGGCGCGGATTGGATGCAGAAGGCTCGGGGGCTCTGGGCGCTCGGTTCCAGGCTCGGGGCACGAGGCGGGCCTTGGGCCCAGAGCTCTTCGACGAGGGCCCGACAATTCGGACATAGGTCTGTGGCTCAGGGATTGCGCCGCCAGTTTTCTGGCGCTGGGCGCCAGTCCTATGGCTTCGGGCTTCGGGCTCAAAGCACCAGGCCCATGGCTGAAATGGGTTGCGGCTCAGAGGTGGCCGCCCCATGCTCATGGCGCAGGGCTTGGGGCGCGGGGTTCGCGGCAACATTTGCGACTCTCGGACGGTGGGTTTGGGTTTAACTTGGGCCCTGGGCGCCCTCAGTCTCTTGCCCAGCGCGCGCTGCTCGAAGCTCAGGGCTTGGGCCCTGGGCCCTGGGCGCGGGCGCGCCCGCGCCCGTTTCGCTCATTCGAGCATGTGTGCGTTATTACTTCAACAGCGTTCGCGGCGCGCGTGCTACCCCGCTCGGCCGCTGACGCGCGCCCGCGCGCGCGCGCCGCCCCGCGCGCCTCAGGCGCTGGTGTCGGGCGGCGCGGCTAACGCCATGGGCGCGCTGGCGTGCGGCTGCGTTTGCGGGCCGAGTAACCGCTGCATTCAGCTGGATGCGCCGCCGCCCCAAGCGCTCGGGGCGCGCGGGCGGGGCCGACACCGCTGTGTACGCGCTGCCGTGGCCCGCCCTGGCAGACGCATGCAGGTCGCCACGTCGACTACGCGCGGCGCGCCGCGGCTCCGCGTGGCGCGCCAGCCCATCGAAAGCGGAACGCCGACGTTTCGTGCGCTGGCCCATTCCATCAAAACCCAACCGCGGACCCATCGGAAACCCATCGGAAGGCCATCGTAAATCCATCAAAACGTCATCACAAAACGAACGAGTTTAAGGGTGGTTGATCAAAACGCCATCATAACGTCATCAAAACGTCATCATAAAGCCATCAAACGGGAGCGTAATGCCGTGCCGTGAAGGGCAGAGGCGCACTGGCTTGCCAATGCTGACAGGTATTTCGAGCCGCCTGCTCAGCGGGGGCAAGGGCAGCGTACTGCGAAAACGTATTATGTCATGTGCTGATATCGAAATTACAGCGCAGGCACCGCCAAACCATCAAAACACCACCAAAATCGATCATAAACCCATCAAAACGTCATCATAAACCCATCGTCATTCGGAGCGCGCGACCAAAACGTCATCATAAGGCCATCAAAGCGTCATCATAAATCCATCGAGAGGCCATCAAGGAGCCATGCGTTCTGGCATCGAGAATGCTTCGGGCGACCAAAACCTTATGGCGGTTTTACATTGCACGGCGCAGATCGATGCTCGGATTTTCGCAATCTACCCCCCCCCCCTCGAGCACCCCCCGATGCCTGAATTTTCGCAATCTACCCCCCCCCCCCCTCGCCTGGCCGCCCATTCGGCTGCGGCCCCGTCGGCGCTGTGCCAAGGACCGCGCCGCGTTGGCCCCATGCGGCTACGCACGTGGGAATGTACAGCGGGCGGCCGCCCCTTTCCTGCGCGTTCGCGCGCGCGCCATGCGAACCCGCCTGCCCAGCCGCCTTGGCGTCGGGGCGCCCCCGCCCCCCCACGCGCCGCGCTGCTGCGGGAGACCCTCGGCGCCCGCGCCGCGGGGGGGCAGCGGTGCGCGCGCCAGCGCCGCTCGATGCGGGCCTCCTGGGCAATGGCAGCGGGCCGCGCAGGCGCGCTGCGAGGGCCCGACGGGCTTCCCAGCGCGCCGCCGATCGGGGCGGCCCCGTGCGGGCAAGCGCGTTCGGGGCTGTCGTCGCTGGGCGGTCTGCATGGACCAGCGCGGGGCGGGGCTGCTCGCGGCGCCCGCGGGCGCCGCGATGCTGGCCCTGCGACGTCGCGCCCGCGGCCGACGGTCGGGCTGCAGAAGTTCGTGGATGTAACCAGCCCTCAGTCGCGCGCGCGAGCGCTGGAACTGCGATCTCGCGTGCACGGCGCGGGCGCATGAGCCGCGCGCTGCGCGCGATGTATCTCGCCGCAGAGCCGCCGCCGCTGTGGCGTGTTCGACGCGACGTGCCTGAGAATCGGTTTATCAGGTGGGACTCTCCTGTAGGGTGCGCCAGCGGAAGCGGCTGTTGCCGCGGCCATTCTGTTGGAAGAAGGCTGCGTGGGAGGGGTAGATGTCGGTCGGCTCGGCATGGCCAGGTGGTGGCTGACCAGTGTCGAGGTATGTGCGAGGCGGGGCTCGGGCATGGGATCGGCCCCCGCATCGGTGAAATTGCGGCGCCCCCCCCCCCCAATGGGATAATCCTGGTGGGGGCAAGTCTGGCGGGGCCCGCCCCGAGGGGCATCCGCTGCGCGGGCTCGGGTCATGCAGCCGGCGCCGCGAGCATCGGCTAGCGCGCGGCGGCGCGCGGCTGGGGGCGCCCCATGCCAGCCGCAGCAATGTCTGCGCAGCGCGCCCCGAGCAGCGAACCTCGCAAGAGGCCGACGCGGTTGGCGGACGCTCGGGTTCGACGCCCGCGGCCTCCTGGAGCATCAGGTATTTTTCAAAATCATATAGGCCCCTCCCAGAAATAAATAAGCAATTCCCAGCAATTAGATAAGTCCATCCCGAAGTAGATCGGGCCCTCCCAGCAGTGAATAGCCCAGCCCTTCCCAGGGCAAACGCAGACAGGTCCCTACCACAGGTAGATGGGGCACTCCCAACAAGTAGATCGGCCCCATCACAGATAAGCGGCTCACAAAAGTAAATGGAACAATCGCAACAAGTAGGTCGGCCATTCCCAGAAGAATGCATGTCCTTCCGAGAAGTAGATAGGTACCTTCCGAACAGAAGATGGGCACTTGGCAAACGTAGATAGGTCCCTGAAGTAGGCAGGGCGCTCCCCAAAGGAGACAAACCCCCATCATGCGGACATTGGAACATCCCAGCAAGTATACAGGACCCTCCCATATGTAGATAGGGCAATCCCAAAATTATATCAGACCCACCACAACAACAACAACAAAAAACCAACAAGTACATTGGGCCCTCCCAAAAGTAGAATGGCGCCTCCCGAATGCAGGTAAGTCCGTCCGAAGGTCGATCGGTCCATCGCAGAAGTAGATATGGCCATCCCAGCAAGTATACATGTTTTCCCAGAGGTAGGCAGGGCCCTCCCAAACGTAGATGTGCCCTTTGTTTCCGCGCGGGAGATCGCCCCCCCCAGATTAGATGTGATCGTTGCGCAGGGCGGTAGGACCCTGCGAACAAGTAGATAGGTCCGTCTCCAAATGGGACGGGCATGTCACAAGAGTAGATAGGCCCATCCCAAATGAACATGCCCTTCCTAAAATGAGATAGGGCCCTCCCAGCAAGTATGGAGGCCATTCCAAAAAGTAGATAGGCCCCTCCCAAACAGAAAAAAGGATTCTACAAGTGGAGATCTCCTTCCCCAGAGAAGTAGGTCCCTCTCAACAATAGATATGTCCATTACAAAATTAATTCGGTCCCTCCCGAAAGTGAATTGGCCACTCCGAGAGGTGGATATTAGGAGTTTCCCAACAATTCGACAGGTCCGCCCCAAAAGTAGGCAGGTCTCCTCCAACTTAGCTGGGGAACTCTAAACAAATTAAAGCGTCCCTCCCGAAAGTGTTGGTACGACCCTCCCAGAGGTGGAAACTCCCAACAAGCAGATATGTCCCGCCCAAACGTAGGTCGGGGCCTCCCTACAAGTAGATAGGCTCCTGGAAAGGATGTGGGTTCCTCCAGAAAGTAGTTAGGACCTTCTCAGAAACCAAAAGTAGATGGGTCCCTCCCAAATATAATTAGGAACCTCCCAAGAAGTATAGGGCCCGCCCACAAGCATATAGGACCCTCCCGACAAGCAGATATGGTTCCCCCACAAGTAGATACGTCCCTCCCAACAAGTAGAGAGGTCAATCCTAACAAGTAGATAAGCTCATCCTCAAATCAGATATGTTCCTCACACAGGTATATCTGACCAGAAGCCGTTCGGACCCCGCCAAAAGTAGATCGGACCCTCCCAACAAGTAGATCGGACCCTCCCAACAAGTAGATAGGTCCCTCCAACAAGTAGATAGGACCTCCCCAAGCAAGTAGGTAGGACCATCCCAAAAGTAGGTAGGACTCTCCCAACAGGCAGAACGGATCCTCTCAACAAGTCGATAAGACCCAGCCGACCGTAGATGGGAGCATCCCAGATGTAGATAGGACCCCCCGAACAAGTAGATTCCAGGATCATCCCTAAGGTAGGTAGGACCCGCCCGTAATTATGCAGGTTTTCCGATAGGGTCCTTCCATGGGGTCTTGTGATGCCCCCCCCATAGGGCCTCCGTGGGCCCATAAGGTAGGGGGGTTCGCCCATGGGCCAACGCGGTCTCGAAAGTGGTGCCGCCCGCTGCCTCGCGATGGTGTGCGGTGCTGTGCGGTGCGCGTCATCTCCGTCAGTGACCGTGCGGTGCCGTGTCGGATCCGCTTGGGTGCCGCATAGTGTCGGCGCGGTGGAATGCGGTTTCTTGTTTGGCCGAGGGCCCATTGCAGTGCCATGGTATCGTTGTCTGCAATTACCTACGAATTCCAACATGATATTCTTTGTCTTTACATCGATGTTTGGCTCCGATCAGTTCGGGGCTTGTGATTTCAGAGCCGGGGCCGCGAGTCGGCGACCCGAGTCTTCTCTTCTGCTGGAGAGCCGGAGGGATGGGCAAGCGGGCGAAGCCCGAACCCAGCGGCGCCAGCCAGCTTGCGGGTCGCGGCGGCGGCACTGTGGGCCGCGGTGGTGGCGCGGGGGGCCGTGGTACTAAGAAGTCCAAGATGAAGGCCGCCGCCGAGACGTCGAAGGAGTCCCAGGTCATAGGGCCGTTGATGATCAGGACCAAGAGCGTCGACCTCACTGGCCCCAAGGGTTCCTGCGGACGCTGTGGCTTCAAGGAGGACGCCGAGCATCCGTTCCCCGACGTCAAGTTCCCAGGTTAGGAGATCAAGAAGTTCCCCTTCGGCTGCTCATTCCACGTCCGTGGCTTTGTGAAGGGGAAGTTTTGGATGGATTACACTTGGCCTACTCTTTGCGGGGCTTGCGAGAATGACAGCGAGTTGGCCGACTCCTTCGAGGCGTGCTGCCAGGCCGCCGACGGAAAGCGTTTCTCGGCCACGTTGCCGCAGGACGTCACGATGGGCACGCAGACTGGCATCACGGTGTACTCGGACTGCGTCCTCATCACAGACGCCCAGTACCAGACCGACATCGCCCCTGCAGGGGCGCAGAGCTTAACGCCGCAGCAGGCAGGGGAACGTGCCACAGAAGTGCAGAACGAGCACAAGGGTGATGCGGTCACGGGGACGCTAGCCTTGGATCCGACGTCGCCTTATCTCAAGGTGCGCAGGTTCACCACCACCCTGAACACCCGCAGCGAGAAGGCTCTGTCGGCCGACGATTGCTGCCGTGAGGGCGCGGCTTCGTCATTGGAGGAGGCCGCCAACAAGCTCATGCGCGAGCAGATGCCCATTACCTTGAGGGGGAATGTTGGGATTCCGACGGTGGCCGAGCTCAAGGCCAGAGCCTTGGGTGCGGCGCGGGGCCTCGGGCTGATTACCGATCCGACTCCTCCAGCAGCTCCGACGGGGAAGCTGGCCATCGCCGACGGCAGCGTCGACGACGGCGGCGGCGCGGCCGCGCTCCCTCCAGGCGACGTCGGCGCGTCGCAGGGTCCAGCGTCGCTTGGACCAAACACCGACGACGCCAGGCCGCCCAGGTCCGCGTTCGACAATGCCATCCAAGTGCCTGATTCGGTTCCAGCTGGCGCTGCCCGTGGCTCCATGGGCGACGACGCGGGGCCGCTGCCGTCAGGTGCCAGCGACCACAGCCGCGGGGCCTCCTCGATGATGACAGGGACGCCGCCGTCCGTCAAGAAGCCTGGTGTGGCAAACGACGCTTCGGAGAAGGCGAGGCTGAAGGAGCTCAAGGATTCGATCTCCTTGGGGCGCATCCTCACGAAGGGTAAGGACCATGGCATCGGTGATAAGATCTACGCGCTTCGGCGCTGGAAGCCTGATAGCGACGTCTTGGGCGGCGAGAAGGACAACTACCTCAGCGACATCGACTGGTGCACGACTCTGGGTGGGAAGGCCATCGAACAAATGGGGCAGGATACCCGCCTGCGGCTGCTCGGGAACATCAAGCACGTGGACCTCTCGGACGCGGTTCCTTTCAAGCTGCAGCTCTGCGCGGTTGCGGCCAAGGAGATGTTCGACGTTGGAGGCAAGGTCGAGATCTGCATTCCCTGGAAGCAGTGCGCGGTGGGAGGGGCCTCAACGTTAACGCCAACAACTGAATTCCCCAAGGTCCTTCACCTCCTCGCTCCCTCTCCTCCCCCTCTCCCCCTCCTCTCCCCTTCGCTTCCCCTTGATCCCCTGATCAACCCCCCTCTCCGATGTTGTTGGCGTCGGCGCTGGGGCCCCTGAAGGGCGAGTTTTCGATGCTTCATCCTCGGTTCTCGGCTGCTGGGGTGCCTGACGCAGAACTCGTCGAGACGGGCAGGGCGTTCTTCATCAACAATTTGATTTTGCCGTACACCAAGCAGGATAAGATCCACAACTCGTGGATGATGGACCTGATCGATCAAATCCTTCCTCGCGTCAAGTCCGAGGCGGTTCGCGAGGAGGCTGGCGTGTGCAAAGACCTCGCGAAGGAGATCTACGTGTACGCCGAGTCCCTCCGCATCCTCATAGACCCCTCGCCCACAGCGCTGCTGGAGTGCGATATCAGGTCTGAAGTTCGCAAGTTCCTTCGTGAAGAAGCTGGGCCTGAGTGGCGCGTGGTCGTGACGACCTTCGGCTCGGAGTGGAAAGCGTGCCTTGAGGAGTACAACCGTTCCTACCACACCGACGTGAAGTACGGCGAGAAGGTCTCCTCCGTGGAACGGGTGCTCGGGGACGCTATCAAGACTCTGACCGTTCAGGACATTTCTTCGATCATCGCGAACTTGAAGGAGTGGGGCCCGTTGTTGCGCCTGGGTGCTGCGAGAAACATCATGAACCATTTCCGCGACAAGCTGGAGGACTTTATCAAGAAGTCTGTGCTCGCGTCGGACATCGGACACCAGGCGGTGCCAGATATCGAGGAAGTGACAAAGTTGAACTTGGAGTTCCTCGATCTCCTGAGCCTCACCCCGAAGCTGCGTGCCATCTCTGAGGACACGGTCCAAGCATTCAACAAGATCTATGCCGACCTGGAGATGTTCCAGGAGAAGGTGTACATCAAAGGCAAGAGCGACAAACTTGTGGAGGCTTGCGACGCCTACGATCCCAAGCGCGATGAGACAGTGCAGAAGATTGCCGTCGCTTTGACGGAATCTCAAGGCGCACACTTCGGCTCGGGCGAGGTCGTCGCCAAGCTCATCGGATGTGCTCGGACTTGCTTCAATCACGTTGTGCAGATGGGCCTCGACTTCACCGCAGAAGATGAGACAACTGATACCTGGGCCGAGACCGCCGAGATGATGAAGAAGATGCTGGCAGTGGCAGCTGGCGCGGTCAATCGCATCGGGGAGTTCGACGCTGACGCGCGAGAGATCCACAGGCTGGTGGTCACCAAGATGATGCTGATCCAGTTGATGCTGTCCATCGGAGCCGTCACCGCCCGCAAGCCGTTCGCCGACTTGCACGTGGATCTTGCTGATGACGCGCAGGAGGTCCGCGGGAGAGACAGCCATCACGACATCGTATGCCCTTGGGGTCTGGGGGGCTGGGGGGATGGGAGTGCGGGTGGACGAGGGGAGTGCGGGATACTGGAGTGAGGGGTGGAGGACCCGAGGGGTCCTTGAGGATTGATGGGGACATATGGTGGGATGGTGGGCGGTTTGATGTCACGATGGCTGTCTTACCTTGAAGGCTTGGCGCGTGCTCCGCTCGCATCTCGCCAAGTTCGTCGAGACCGCCGCCGAGCCGCCCCAGGATCCCGAGCAGCCGCAGGGAGAGGGGGCCTCGACAACACAGGGTGCGGATGGCTCGGACGGGGCCGACGGCAAGAAGACGCTCGAGGTTACGATACTGGCCGACTTCAAGGCTTTCGAGGTCCTCGCCAAAGTGGCAATCAAGACAGGCCGCGACTTGCTCAAGGAGTTCTCGACGGTGTACTGGGACCTGGTGGCGGACGCCACGGAGTACGCTGCGAAGGATATGGATGCCTTGAGCGGCGGCATCATGAACGGCGGCGGCAAGAGCTGGACGGACGGCCCCTCCAGCTTGCAGAACTGGGAGGAGGTCCTGACCCAGATCAAGGCCACGCTCTTCAAGCAGAAGGGCTTGGCAACCAAGGCGCGCGCGCTGAAGGGCGACATACTCAAGCAGCTTGGCGAGCTCAAGAAGACGGCCGACGAGCACGGCAAGATGAGCGAGTTCGGTGGCCTCGAGGCGTCGGCGCTCAAGGCCGTGGGCCGCGCGGAGGCCACGCTGTTCGAGGCGCGCTTCGCTCAGCTCGTCAAGGGCGGAGTCCACGCGAAGGACCACAAGGAGTGCTTGCTGGCGTTCAGGGATGAGCTGCACGACGCGAAGTACTTCAAGGAGAAGGACATCCACCCAGTGATCGCGGCCAAGCTGGAGGAGATGCTCACGCAGGCCTTCAACGACACATTGTAGATGTGGAGGTTTGCGACGCTGGCGGTTTCGAGATCGGCTCGGACACTTTCGGGGCTGTCGGCCCCAGGGTAGCTAGGAGGCACCGTGGTCAGGTGGCCTCGCGCGCCGCCGCCCCTTTCAAGCAGCAAGTTGCTGCATGCGGTAATGATAGGATTTATGAGGAAGGGGAGGTGGAGGAAGAGGGCGACGACGACGACGACGACGACGACGACGACGACGACGAGGACGACGATTACGACGACACGATGGGGGATGATATCACCAACTGCACTGCACGAGTGGCGGCGGCACGCTTCTCGGGAGGCGCTCCGCGGAGCGCGGGCGAGGTGTGAGCGCTGTTTCTCTCAGGGCGGAGGTGGGCAACCTATCTCATCATGCCCTCATTGTCGTCCAACTTTCCCTCGTCGTCGTCCTCCTCCTCTGTCCCTTCACCCCCTCCAGCTTCACCTTCACCTCCCTCCCCTCTCCTTCCTCTTCCCTCTCCCTCCCCGTGCTGCTGCCTTCTCTCCCCGCTCCCTCCGCCCCCCCCAGACACCATATATTGGAGGCCGTCGGCCCGCGCCCACCTGCCCCGCGATCCGCGCGAGGGGCGTGCCGAGTTTGGTGGTGTCTCAGGGGCCCCAGGGCTTCAAGGCCCAATGGTCCCCCAGAGCCTCGGGGCACCCCTTTGGGCTCAGCAGGGTGCTCTGGGCCCAAGGCTTTCCGCGCCGTTGGTCACGCAGGGCTTCCGCCCCCTCCGCCGAGGGCCCCAGTGAGGCCCAGAGATACCCCAGTCGGGCTCCAGGAGTGCCCCAAACAGTGCACCATCCCTACTTGGACATCGCACCATGGGTTCATTACAATCTGGCTATGTGGTGCATTCATTCGGCGGTTTTTTGGGTCCACACCTTGCCTTGCTGTGGCTTATCTGGCCCTTTCGGGTTCTAGTTGGGGCCGCGTCTGGGGCCCGAAGGTTCACCGAAAAGTGTTCCGAATGGCTGCCCGCGATAGCCTTCGAAGGGGCCTCCAACTGAATAGTTGCAACTGGTGTGGTCCGTGGGGGCACCTGCGGGCATTCCTTGAGGTCACCCCGCAGCGCCCCCTACCAACGGCCCGACTAAGGCGCCTATATGCCCCCAGACGCGCGCCTGTGGGCCCCAACTTACTCGAGCTGGGCCCCCGCGGGGCTCTCAGAAGGCCTAAGGCCTCGATGAGGCTCCGAACAAGGCTTGCCAGCGGTGGCATCCACGCGGCTCCCTTGGATGCAACCGCAAAAAGTGAGCGACCCACGCCCCGCAGACTCGGGTGGAAGGAGGCGGGTAGGAGGGGGGCCCGCCTGGCCGCCATGCTGAGCCAAGCGGCCTGGCAAGGCGGTCGGGTGGGATCGGCCTCGCCCGACCAGGCCTGCCTCCGAAACTCAGTCCCCTGCAGGCTCCAGCCCATGTCCTACGCGTTCGGCTCTTCCTCCCGCCATGCCCCGCGATCCGCGTGACGGGCGCGCCGAAATGGGCGGTGTTTCGGGGGCCGCAAGGTTCCAGGGCCTTGGGTTCCCCAGAGTCCCATGGGGTTCCCTCTGGGCTCAGGGTGCTCTAGGTTGCTAGGGCCCGTCTTGGCCTTGGTCACATGAGGCCATCGCTTCCTCCGCCGAAGGCCCCCCAACGTAGGGCTGTCGCCCAATCCGCCTTCGTCCCCGTGGGGCGCCGTAGCGCAGCGACACCGCGACATCGTGACACCGCGACATCCATGCAAGGCGTTGGCCCCCCGCATTCGCCCCCCCCACGCCGCCGCGGCGACGCGACGCCGCGACGCCATGGCGCGACGGCGCCCCGACACCGCGACAGCTGCGCAGGGTATCCACTTGGGCCCTCGGGTGTATCGTCGACGGATGCCATGGATTGTCGGCCGTGCATATTGCGCACGAGCAACGAAACAAGGGGGAGACAATTGAAACTCGCGAAATGACATCTCTCGGGTCGATGCCATCAACAAATTTCATTTTGGTTGTTTGCGCCCCGACAAGAAAACGTTGGTTGATCAATAATTTTCTTTCTGAAAATCGCGAAACGGCCGTCCATCAAAGATTTTCGACGTGGAAATCGCGAATTCTGCAGCCACCAAAGATCGACAACGGCTCCACCCATCAAAATCCATCAACCCGAAACCCCACTACAGGCCCGAATATAACTGTCAATCCTTCGGAGCACTCTCTCGCTCTCTCATCTCCTTCTCTCTCTCTCTCTCTCTCTCTCTCTCTCTCTCCCCTCCCTCCCTCTCTCGCTCTCTCATCTCCTCTCTCTCTCTCTCTCTCTCTCCCTCCCTCTCTCTCTCTCTTCCTCTCTCTTTTCTCTACCTCTCTCTCTATATCTCTCTCCCTCTCTCTCTCTCTCTCTCTCTCTCTTTCTCTCTCTCTCTATCCCGTTCTCTTCCGTCGCCATCGATTCCATCGCCGACGCCATCGCCGATGACGACCACCGCCGCCAACAACGACAACGACGACGACGACGGCTTCGAACGACGGCCTCAACGCCAGCTTGCATGACCTGTTCGACGATGACCTCGACGACCAGCCGAAGACGACACGATCATTCCCGAGTCCTGGCATCCTGTTCTTTCAGCTGTTCTCCCACCGCCGCGCCTCCTCACCTCCTCTTCGTCCTCGTCCTCCACACTCGTGCTCATCCTCCCCTCCCCTTGGATCTCTTCATCTTAATCCCCCATCCTCTTTGTCCTCATCCTCCTCGCTGCTCACGCGCGGCGGCGGTCCATGAGCGTCTTCTGCGAGATCCGCTTTGTGCCCGTCACCATATTCAAGCACTTCATCAGTTTGAGCTCTGCCTCTGGTTGAGAGAGACATCGCAGCCATCGTCGTCACCGAGGTCGTCATCGAAGCCGTCGCCATCGAAGCCATCGTCATCGAATTCATCGAAACGGTCACCGAGGCCGTCGTCGTCAAAGCCACCGTCGTCATCGGGGTCGTCGTCCCGTACATCGATCACTTGCACGTCCTCATCCTCTTCCTGCTCCGCCTGCTCCTCCTGCTCCTCCTCCTGATCCTCCTCCTCCTCCCCCTCCTCCTCGTCGTCATTGGCCTGCTCCTCCTCGTCCTCCTCTTCCTCCTTCCTCATCCTCCCCCTTCTCCTCCTCCTCCCCCTCCTCCTCCTCCTCCTCCTCCTCCTCCTCCTCCTCCCCCTCCCCCTCCCCCTCCCCCTCCTCATCATCCCTTCATCCCATCATCCCATCATCCATTCTGGCGGCGCCTTGATCTCCTCCCACTTCGGCCTGCTCTCGAATCTCTCCGCTGTGTACGAGAACGAGGGGATCTTCTTGCAGCCTGCGGCTTGAGGGGGGAGGCGCCGCCGTCCTCGTCTTCGGCGTCGAGCGTCGACGCTTCGTCGACGCCGTCGTCGCAGCCTGCAGCTTGCGAGGAGGAGAAGGGGAGGGTCGCCGTCGATTCCGCCCGAGGCCGTCGTCGTCGCCGCTGCCCCGTTGCCGAGGCACTCGTCCTCGTCAACGCCGTCGCCCTCGTCAACGCCGTCGCCCTCGTCGACGCCGTCGTCGTCGACGAGGCCGTGGCTGTCATCGTCGTCGTCAAGGTCGTCGTCGAGGTCCCATCCTCATCTTACCATCCTCGCATCCGTACCCTCCCATCCTCCTATTCTCGCATCCGTGCCCCCATCTTCCCATCCTCGCATTCGTACCCTCCAATCCGATCCTACGCCTTCACATCCTCCCATCCTCCGATCCACCCTGCGCGCGCCCGATCCGCCCATGCCTTCAAGCTTCGGGTGGTCGTCGTCGAAGTCCTGCAAGGCCTCGACGGGGCGACGCGGGCGACTACGGCGGCGATGACGACGAGAAGGGACGGCTTAGGATGAGGATGAGGAGGGTGAGGATCATGGGAAAGATGATGACGAGGATGAGAAGGATGAGGAGGATGAGGAAGATGAGGAGGATGAGAATCATCAGGAGGAGGAGGAGTAGTAGGAGGAGGAGGAGGCGGCGGACGAGTAGGACGGCGAGGGGGATGAGGCTGGACAGTGTGGATGAGGAGGCGAGGCGGCAAGATACATACTGGAGAAGAGAAAGGAGAGGAGCAATCGCAGGGGAGCCCAGCCTGTCCAAGCAGCTCGGGGCTCACCCGCGCCGTCTTCTCGAATCTGAAGTCTGGGCTGGTCTTGGGTGGCATGGCCTCGCGTGCCCACCGTCTCCTTCCCATGCTCTTCACTCCCTTCCTCTTGCGGTTCCGAACTCTCCAACCTAGCCCTTTCTCCTCCTAATCCTATCCGCCCTCGCTTTTCCATCCTCCTCATTCTCCTTCTCCTGTTCCTCCTCCTCCTCCTCCCGCCTCTTCCTCCTCCTCGGCGTTCTCCTCCTCCTCCTTCTCCTCTCGCCGTCGTCCTTATCATCCTGCTCTGGCTCCTGGTTCTCTCTCCTCGAGGCCCTTCCAGCACCCTTCTTATCATCCTGCTCTGGCTCCTATGATCTACCAAGCAGGTGTCCGTGGTTTCTCTCGTCCTCCCCCTCCCGTTCCTCATCCCCCTCCTGCCCCCGCGCCTGCAACCGGGGCCGCGGCTGCTGCGCCGCGCTGGCGGCGCGCTGCAGGCGGGCCCCGCGGCGCCGCGCGGCGGGCGCCGCGTATTGGAGCCGCGTTCGCGCGGGCAACGCGTCAACCTCCTCCACCTTCTCCTCCTCCTCCTCCTCCTCCTCCTCCTCCTCCTCCCTCTTCCTCCTCCTCCTCCTCCTCCTCCTCCTCCCTCTCCTCCTCCTCCCTCCCCTCCTCCTCCCTCTCCCCCTCCTCCTCCTCCTCCTCCTCCTCCTCCTCCTCCTCCTTCCCCTCCTCCTCCTTGTCATCATCCCACCCCCCTCCCCCCTCCTCCTCCCCATCCTTTCCTTTCCCTTGCCGTTGTCGTCGTTGTCCTCCTTCTCCTCCCCTCCCACTCTACATTGCCCCCCTTCGACGGGGCAGGGTTGGAATCAGCAAGAATACGCAGACCTCTTGGGTTCATCGGCGCGTGAGATCT